CAAAACTACAATAATTAGCTACAAAATGACCAAAAAGTCCAGCAAAAGGCCAGAAATGATAACAAAACTACATAAATTTGGCATGAAATTACCAAAAAGTCTAGCAAAACACCAGAAAATGGACACAAAACTACATTAATTAGCTACAAAATGACCAAAAAGTCCTGCAAATCGCCAGAAATTATAACAAAACTACCTAAATTTGGCATAAATTACCGAAAAGTCCAGCAAAAGACCAGAAATTGTCTCAAAAGTACACCAATTTACCAAAAAATGACCAAAAAGTCCAGCAAAAGACAAGAAAATGGCCACAAAACTAAAATAATTAGCTACTAAATGACTGAAAAGTCCAATAAAACACCAGAAAATGGACACAAAACTACAATAATTAGCTACAAAATGACCAAAAAAATCCTGCAAAAGGCCAGAAATGATCATAAAAACTCCATCAATTTGGCATAAAATGACCAAAAAGTCCGGCAAAAGACCAGAAATTGTCTCAAAACTACAACAATTAATCATACAATGACACCACAGCACCACAAAGTGTGCGACGTCAGGGTTTTGTGCGCCTAAATGAGGCACAATTGGACGGAGAAACGGTGGAGTTTGCTGAGATTTTGGAGTCTGGAGGCACTTTCCTACTCACACAGCAGGTTTTATCCTACACATCTGCTTTATTTTACACGTTAACACATGTAAGGATTCATAACTCCCCGGTTATTTTGGGCTGCTGGATGATGACAAAAGAAAAGAGAGAGAGAATGTCAAACCCAGCAGTGCACCGGACTGAACTCCCTCTGGGTTTCTAGTCTGTTTTTGTCTCAGTGACCACCTCCAACTGCTCTTCTTATGGGTTTATGCTTTACTTCATATTCAGGATCAATCAGGGGTTCTCCTCAGTCTGAAAAACTCCCCAAAAGACCACTAACCATACTATGACAAAAGAGTCGAGCAAAAGACCAGAGAATGGACACAAAACTACAATAATTACCTACAAAATGACTGAAAAACTCCCCAAAAGACCAGAAATTGTCTGAAAACTACAACAATTGACCATACTATGACAGAAAAGTCGAGCAAAAGATAAGAAAATGGACACAAAACTACAATAATTAGCTACAAAATGACCAAAAAGTCCTGCAAAAGGCCAGAAATGATCACAAAACTAGATAAATTTGCCATAAAATGACCAAAAAGTCCAGCAAAAGGCAAGAAAATGGACACAAAACTACATAAATTTGCCATAAAATGACAAAATATTCCAGCAAAAGACAAGAAAACGGTCAGAAATAGACACAGAATTTAAATAGTTAGCTATAAAACCACCCAAATTTGGAGGAAAAACATAATA